ATTTAGGGGGTTCTCCCATCTGGCTTCTATTACCGTTAAGGTGGGTTGTCACCAGCTCTTCTCTCATAGAGACCTGTCCCTTGCATCTGTGGCTGCCAGATCCTGTTCCTGCGACTAGCTTTGTCTGTTGAAGGACTGTCTCGTTAGACTCTGGTTCATTTGTAAGCCCCTCTCCCAGATGCTGTTTTGACTGGCGGCTCACTTCCTCCCACCCCTGCCCTCTCCCTGTTGATAGGCAGGGTGGCCTACTGGCTGAGGGTGTGGACTCTAGAGCTAGGCTGCCCAGATCTGACCCAGGCTTTGCCTGCTTACTAGTTCTCTGATTGTGGGCAAATTCACCTCTCTGGGTTTGTTTCCCAATTGTAAGATATTGCTAATAATACCATCTATGTTGTGGAGTTGTGAGGGCTAAATGAGTTATTAAGTGAAACACTTAAACAGTTTCTGATACAAAGCAGGTGCTATAATTATGTTTTGCAAATTGATATATAATTCATATATTATATAACATTTTCCATGTGCTGTATAACATGTATTTTATTATAATCCCTTCATACAACTATAAGAGAGTACATTTTGTTTATCATGGGTTCATACCCATGACTTGTCACCTTGCCCCAGAAGGGGGTGATATAAGTGGGAATAAATTTCTGTGCATAGGAACAAAGAAAGCTCACATATATCCAACAATTGCTATGATAAGAGCACTCTAGTATTTCATTCTTACAGCCACCTATAGAAAAAGTGGCATTTACTCCCTTTTTAAAAAAGGTAAGAGATGTAGGGCTGTGTGATAAAAAGTAACCACAGTATCATAGCTGTGGAGTTTGCAGAGCTGGGAAATTTCAGCCCAAGTCAACATGACTCAAATCTGGTGCTCTTTCTACTTCTATAAGAAAGGGACACTAGCTACTGTTTTTCTTGGTACACTTTTGGATGAATTTAGCTGGAAAACATCCACATTCTCTCCCCCCCCCCTTCTTCGTCTCCCCTGCCCCAATAAAAGCCAGAGATAACTCACACTGGCCATCACATTCTCCCGTGAGATCAGGAGAGAAAACAGTGGTGTTATCAGCAAGAACCTAATGACACTACCCAGGGAAAATAAGAAACCCCTCAAACAGTCATATCCAGCCAAACAAAGCTCTGGGAGAAATTCCTGGGACATTTAGCAAGAGCAACCTAAAAGGACTTTAGAGTAAAAAATGAACCCAAAGGAAAACACTGCATGTGAGCCCTGGGCCCATAAGCAGTGTTTGGGTTGCTGAGCAAAGGCACAAGGCTTGGGGTGGTAGCCAAGCCAGGCTGGGCTCTGCTGTTGTAGCAAATTAACCCTGAAATCTCAGTGGCTTAACACCACAAAGTTTTGTTTTATGCTCATTTATGTGTCCAGTGAGGGTTGCTGTTTGGGGAATTCTGCTTCACATGAAATCTGGTCACTCAGAAATCTGGCTCTGACATCTGATGACTGCACCTCCTGGAGCTTGAGGCCTCTGAGGTGGCATGGGAGGTGTACTGGGTTGAAGACTGAAGACTGACCCCCTCCCCCCAAATTAATGCCTTCGTGGAACCTCAGAATGTGACCATATTTGGAAATAGGCTCTTTGCAGATATAATTACTTAAGGGTCTTGAGGCAGATCTTCAATCATACCAATTTAGAGTGAGATTTAAATCCAAAATCTCATATCTTTACAAGAGAAAGGAGAGTGATAATTGGACACAGACACACAGAGGGAAGAAAGGCCATGTGAAGACATGCAGAGTTTGGAGTGATGCGGCCACAAGCCAAGGAATGCCAAGAGTCACCAGGAGCTGGAAGAGGGAGGGAAGGATTCCCCCTACTGTCTTTGGAAGGAGTGTGGCATAACTGACAGCTTGATTTTGGATTTCTGCTGTCTATCAAAGTGAGAGAATAAATTTCTGTCATTTTAAGCCACCAAGTTTGTGGTGATTGTTATAGTAGCCGAGGAAACTAATACAGAGTCTGCACTAGGATGTTTTTATTTTATTTTTTATATTTATTTATTTGTTTATTTATTTGGCTTAAACAACAAACATTTATTTCTCACAGTTCTGGAGGCTGCCAAATCCAGGATCAAGGCACTGGCAGTTCCAATGTCTGGTGGGGACAAGCTTCCTAGTCCATACACAGCCGTCTTCTTGCTGTGTCCTCACATGGCAGGAGGGACAACGGAGTTCTCTGGGGTCTCTTTTTAAGGGCACTGAGCCCACTCATGAGGGCTCCTCTCTTCCGACTTAATAGTCTTTCAAGGTCCCACCTCCCAATACTATCACATTGAGGATTAGGTTTCAACATATTAATTAGAGGGGTGTGTGTGCAAAAATATTCACTCTGTAACAGGTATACATTATTACTCTTATTTTGCACTAGGATGTTTTTAAGGGCCAGGCCTGGAAAGGACTTTTTTCCTGTATTGACCAGAATCTGAACTAACTGTTGTCACTTGTTTTTCTGTGTGCACAGGAAGAGGACAGTGAAACAAGATTTGGTGAACATATAGCATCACCTTTGCCACACTTTTGCTGGGAGGGCATCCAGGGAGCAAGGGCCAGAGGCTCAGAATAGAGACCTTCCCACTTTTAGAGACAGTTTCAGGAGCCATTGGGCTGTCCGCGGGGTCGCTGTAGGTCAAAGCAAGACAGCAGTAGGCTAGCGCCGGGGAGGGACGGCAGAAAACTGGAGACAGAGCTCGCAACACGTAAGTGGCGATCGATCCATAGTTGCACCAGTGTCCATAGAACAGTAGGGTCACACAGAATAATAGGAACCCACACCTGCAAATCGGGTATGAAGGGCAGGTTCCAAGGCCAAAGATGAAGCACAAGTGCTGTTGCCAGAGGGCAGAGGCATCCAGTGTCCCCAGTTGGGCAGCTACTCAGATATTGCTTGAAAGCAAGTAAGACTACCTAGCTCCCCTCCCAGAGGGAATGTCAGAATAGTCTTTTTCATTTTTGTGTCTCCAGTTTCTAGCACAGGTTAGGTGCCCAGTGAAGGTTTGTCTGCCCTTCATCAGGGTGATGTTTCTAAACCATGGGCCATATCCCAGCAGTTCCAAGCTCACATTCCCCTTTGCCTAGAGGTGTAAGCCTTAAATCTATAGGATGTCTTGAACTTGCCCTTGTCCCTGCCAGAGCAGGTGATTTCTCTTGGGCCTCCAGCCTTTGCACCTGGAATTATTTTTCCTAGAATAACCTCTTTCTCCACCTGCTGAGGACTTGCTCACCCTTGAAGACCCAGGTTGAACACGTGGGGAACTGTCCCCAGACTCTCCCATAGTCACTTCCTCCCTCGTTGGCATCCTCAGCATCCTTTGTACTTATATGGTGCAGCAATATTGAAACCATTTCTTTGTCTGTTTGCTCCACTTGGCTCAATTTTGCATTTTCCATTCACCTCTGGGTCCCAGTGCCTGGCTCATAATAACCTCCAATAAATTTTTCCTCTGGAAGAAATGTCACTTCTACCTGGCCCTTCTTCCAAACAGCTGTCGAGGCAACTAATAGTTCTAAGGAATGGAGATGATACTATGATTATTAATTAATTAACTGGCGATTGACTTGTACTCACCATGAGAAGTATAGATGGGAGAAATAAGTAAGGAAAAAGATAAAAATGGGTCAGAGTACCCCACTTTTGGAGAAAAACAAGACTACAGAAAACATTTCTGTAGCGATTTAAAATTTGTAAAGTGCTTTAATGTCTTAGTTTTCTCATTGTGACGCAGAGAGGGACCTAGGCCTAGCAGGACTGCTCCCATTTAAAGCTGAGGAAATTGAGATTCAGCACGGAGCTCATCCAAGGACTGAGTAGTTGCGCAGGTGGTGTCAGAGGTTCACCTTGTAACTGTAAATCTTGTGTTTCCCCCATAGCCCTTGTGAATTGCTCTCTCAAACAAAAAAGTGAGCAAAGAGGAGAGGAGGAGGAGGGAAAGTTGCCTTATTTAATATATATTATTTAATGTCCACAAATAATTCCATCAGGTAGACATTCTGCAGATGTGGTAACAGAGGGCTGGGGAGGGAAAGTAACTTGCTTCATATCCCTCAGCTAAGAAATGTAGCAAAGATTGGAGGCAAACCCCAGGTTTTCCTTTCTCTGGAGCCCCCTTACCTTCCTCTGCTCTGCTGTGGAGTCACCTGTTGGGCCTGGGGTAACAGAACACAGTCCTGCCTGTGCCTGGCTGTCCCCTGCCTCTCCCACTGTGGGAATTTGTCAGACATCAGAGCTACAGGGTTTTTTTGATACCCTGCCCCTTGTGAGCACTTGAGACCCACACATTGCATCTCAGCAAGATTTAAAAGGAATCACTGATCACCCGCTGAGGTGTTTTCATTTTGTTCCTGGAAATGATTCATCTTGAGGCTTTGGGATGGCTCTTGTCACAAATAGCCTTCCTTGATCCATAATTTTCCCTCTTCCCTTTAAGGTAATATTTTGCATTTAAGAAATGAACATAAGCAAAATAATCCTGCTGTGAGGATATGTTTACATTTATATATGAGACTAACCAAGGTAGAAGCTACCCGAAATGGATTCGAAAAAATATTTTGTTTTTTTAAAAAAGCTCAGTTGCTGTCTCTTGTGGCCACTCTGTTTCTGTCGGTCCTTGACTCTTTTGTGTATTTTTTTTCTCCTTTCTTCTCAGCATATAGGATAAAATAGTACCATTTTGTGTTTTGTTTTTGTAGGTGATTTTTCAGATGCTGCTTCCACTTTGTATTTAGCCACTTGCAGTCCTTTGAGGCCAAAAGCAGACCAGCACTTGTAGTGTGAGGTCTGCTGGGATCAGGCGATGCAGGGGGAGAGGGAGCCGGTGTTTCCCCCTGTGGCTGGGAACTGCTCACTGCCGACCTCGACCTCGCTTTTACTCGTCTTTGCTGCCTGTGCAGTTCCAAGTCGGGTCAAGGTAACACAAGGGCACTTTTAAGGAGTGGGCAGGGATGAAACTACAAACAGATGTTCTTTGATAATGCAGAGGAAAGAGGGTCTGGCCCAGAGACCGCAGCTTTCACTTGCTGAGAGCCTTTAGCCAGTGCAAGCGTGCACTTCAGTCTTACTCGTTTCCCGGGGCCCCCAGAGCCCCGGTGTACCTGCTGTTGCTCTCCAGCCTCTTGCCAACAGTGGCATCTGCTCAGTGTAGCCACCGAGCATTTGAATGTCAATATCTTTGCCTTGAAATGAATGGAAAAGTATTTGTCACTCAGCGGCAATCATTCTTCAAATAAAAGGTTAGCCAGACAGGGCCCTTAATCAAAGAGTCGGTCTTTTCTGTCAGCAGTGCCTTTTAAATAGCAATGATGAAGGCTGGCTGTCAGGGTAGGACTTGATGAGCGAGATGATTGATCTGCATAAATCATTTTCTTTTAACATTGTCAGTGAAGAGTAAATTGGTGGGACATTCTGGGTATTAGCTGTGTTGAAATTAATATGCAGTATCCTAGGTGTGTCCTGGTTCACGTAGTCCTCATAAAAGAAGGTGGAAATTAAAAAGAGGCTTTTAGGCGTGCATTGTTCTAACAAGAAAGTTGCCCCGTGCTTCCTGCTGTGGTCATCATCCTGCATGCTAAATTCAGAACTTGAGTGTGTAGCACATTTTACAAGCTCCGAAAGGAATCTAGTTAATTTGGGAATTAGCTAGAGTCAGTAGCATTTAACAACCAGTAAATCTGTAAAGACTCACTGCTCAGAGGGGGGAAAAAAAAATCTAAGAATGAATTCTGGTTTACAGGATAGGTTATCTACTACTCAGCATGCTGCCACAGAAATCTCCTCAGCTTCTGATCAGGTTTGGGCTTAAATCGGCATGCCACCACTCCTAGGTGAGTCTCCTTGACCATGGCACGTAACCTTTCTGAATCTGTTTTTTAAATTTTTTTACGCGTGTGTGTCTTACACAACAAGATTTTATTAATTACTTTTTGTGGGCTTGCTATTGGTATTAAAGACAATAATGTGGGCCAAAGCACATAGCATGTTACCTGGCACAAAGCGAGAAAGTGCTCAGTAAATGTTAATCTGTTCCTTTTCCTCTGGTCAAGCAAACCACCCAACACCTAGAACACTGGCTGAGAGCTAAGATGTCAGTATCAAGGGCACACCTACATGGTCAAAATAAACAATTAGTTGTCTGTGTTCTGTCACTCTTGTGCTTTCTGGGATTTCTTACGGCCATTTTTTATATCAAAAACATGTTTAAGGGGGCAGAAGAAATACCTACTTGCTGAATCCTGGGAGTATAGGGAGTGAGGTGGAAGGAATGTGGGAGAAATGTGGCCAAGGACACTTAGAGTTTTTTTCTCACTATTAGTCTTCAGATTATATGTCTGGGTTCATATTACTCAACTTTGGAAAGGACAAGTAAAGCCTTTGCAATATACTGTTGGGATTAAGAGCTGGGCTGATGGAACCAAACTGCTGGGTTCAGATCCCAGATTTTCCACTTAATTGCTATGTGACTATAGGCAAGATAGTAAAATGCCTCCCTCAGCCTCAGTTTCCTCAACTCTAAAATGGGCTAGTAATGATACCTATCTCACAGTGCTGTTAGGATGATTGAGTTAATATGTAAAAAATAAAGCACATAGAAGAGTACGTGGTGTTACATATTAGCTGTGACTGCTATAAATGAATGATTGGTTGAGAAAGGTAGATATTGGTACTGTTCAAGTGGGTCAGAAGTATGAAAGGAAGAAACATGTTAGGGATAGGAGTCCATGGTAACGCTATACTGGAGTGAAATACCTCCCTCATTTTGGAGAAGCTTCCCTATTGCAGGAATTTAAAGCCAAGATGATTCTAGAAACATCCGTATTTGTAGCTGCACAGCCAGTGTTGTCGGAATGACTGGACCAGCAGCCCTGCTTTGCTCCACCCCGTCCTCAATGTAGGATCAAAATTTGATTGAGATGATCTTACGAACAAAACTAATTCTGAAGAGAATTTTTTTCTGGCTTAATATAAATACGTTATGGATTATCTATCTGACACGTTGTGAGAAAGGTTTTGTGGGGCCTTCTGGTAACTAGTCTTTACTTGTTATATTGAATGTAAAGGTTAAAAACACTGTCTGCTACCCGGGTTCTCCATGTGCCTCCTGTAAGGATGCAGTCCCCATCAGTCTCCGCCAGTGGGCATGTGGTATGAACAGATAGGAGCCTCGGTAACGTGTGGCATGTGCCTGTCCAAGTTAGGTGCTGCCAGAAGGGGACCTCTGTTCTTTGGATATTTGAGTTCTCTCCATTCTTGGAGGTTTGTGTGTTTTCTCAGGCTTGTTTTTAGCTGACATGATGAGTTGTATACAGGCTTTGTATTTTCCTCCCATCCTCTGGGTTTATTCCACTTTGAACTTTTGGTTTCCTTTTGCATAATGAGAAATCTTCACCAATCTTGATGGTTCTATGGAAGTCCTCAGAGGGGCCTGGGGGCAGCAAAGGTGTCTCCATTCTCAGGTGAGCCAAGGATGGAGATTTGCAGTCTCTCCAGTCTCAACTCTTTTATAATACTATGTTAAGCACTCAGCATGGTCATTGTGCTGCTTTTTGGAAGACACTGTGAAATTAGCCTATGTCTCCTTGAGGGGCATGATGGCTACATTGAGAATTTCTAGAAAACATTCCCTGCTGCTCTGGCTTGCAACTCTCCTGGTCTTCAGAAGTGGTGAAACTGACCTGTTAGACTCCTTTCCGATTCTGTCCTTACTAGACAAAGCATAGCCTGTGTTATCTGACTGGTTACTTAATGGGATCCAGCCATACTGGGTGTGATATTCTGCTCAAGATTAATTTCATGTAATGAGGTTCCAAAGCAAGGTGTTTAAGAGCCCCACTAATGTTTCATTTATAGCAATCTATCAAAACGATAGATATTTAGCCTTCTTTATTGGATATGAGACATTAACTTAAAGCCAGGGCTACTTTCTGTTTTAAATACCAATATCCATTACGTGTTTCTCGCTGTAAGCATCTCTGACCCCTGCCCTCCGTTTCATCAACCGCTGTGAAAATCTGCCACTGCTTCCCAGGGGACACATGCCATGCACGTAGCCTTAGGTTTTGATTCTCTTGCATCTGGGACGACAGACCAACCCTGGCCCTCACCCTGCTTGGGCTTTTGCAAATAAGGAGCAGGATCCATGAGTAAATATTTACTGGGTACACACTATATTCAAGGCATAGTGGACACTGGGAGGATTGGGACATTGATAGGCACAAAGGAGACTCAACTTCACTGAGTGTGAAATGCTGGAAAAGGGATATCTTAGCCCAGGGGCATCCTCACTACTCCCGGGTTGGTTATTACCATTTTTCAGTTGTGAGCTGCTGAAGCTCAGAAATATCCAGGCTGCTTCTCTTCATAACATCTTTCCATTTTTGACGATGTGAAAAATGTTGTATTTCATCAATTCCAACCAGTAGCAAGATCCCATTACTTAGCCTCCAGGGGCTCCCTATTGTCCAGCAGCCCTTACTTTGGTATTCGAGGCCCTAGAACAAGTGCTCAGGCATTTAATATTGGTTGAATTTATGAATGAAAGGATGGGCAGTTTTCACTTTCTCCTCTTCAGTGTTATTACCCATGAATGTCCAGTATTGTCATTTTCTCCTTCCCACTTTCCCTTCCTTTACTACTTTCATTATTGGAAATATATTTGTTCAGCACCCATTGCTTGCCATTTTCCGGTATGGAATATATTCTTTCTAATTTTTTTCTGGCTCAGATGATATCTATTCTTTAGGGACTGACTGGAGACCCCTATCTTTCTGACCTGTGTTCTCTCTGTGGCTTTTACATTCCTCTTTGCCTTTCCTTCTATGAATTCTTAGCCATTAAGTCTGAATATACATCTGATGCTTAGACATAGATGGAGGATCTCTAGATATTTTCACCTATGCACAACTCATTTTTCTCTTCGATTGCAGTATCTTCAAGAATAGGGGCTTATGCTTAGCACCTTTTCCAGGGCACACAACCTGCTCTTGGGCACACAGGGTGTGTGCAGAGCATAGTGACTTGATGTCGTCTCCAAAGGTGATTCCTGAATAGACTTGGCAGTTATTGTGTGTAAGACGAGACAGAAGAATTACACCACAATTGATTTCACAATGTGTCACTCCCAGAAAATCTTTGTGGGAATGTGAACCATGAAGACCCCATTAGATTTGTCTGTATTCCCCCCAGGACTTTCCCAACCACTGGATTGCTGTTTGCAGGCCTCTCTTTGTGCCTGGAAACTTGAGGGGATCTCGTATTTTCTTGCTCCATCACATGCTATGTGGTTTGATATTCTGTCTTCTGTTTCCTTTTTACAGTCTCCGGGGTCCCCTTAATTGGGACACCTTAAGAGCCCCTGCTGTGGGCCAGGAAATGGAGTCTTTCTGCGTTTCCTCTCGATGGGCAGGCTTCATGGGACTTTTCCTTGAGTGGAGACATCAGCCTGGCAGTACATCCTGTGCTTCTCTATCACCTGTTGTGTGTTTCACCCAGGGCTTACCTCAGGAGGCCTTTGAATCCTTTTTGGCCAGAAATCTTTTTGGCAGTTTGTGAACTTGGTTGGATTCCAGCCTTTCTCTTTCATTTTCAGGACATGCCCACAGTGTTGATTTGTGTGCCAGGCCTGTGATTTCTCTGTTTTCCTTTCCCCTGCCCTGGGATCCATGGATACTGTCATATGATTTAGCAACTTGGAAACACTTATTAACGGCCCAACCACTTGACTCTAAAAAAATGTTTCCTTGCCTTTTTAATTTAAAAATAATACATTTTCATTATAAAAGATATAAGTAATAGAGATGGAAAGCAAAATCTGTATTAGTTGCATGGCATGTAATAGAAAACCAAAACAACAGCAGCTTAAAATAGGAGTTTATTTTCTTTCCAATAGAGCAGCCCAGAGGTAGGCAGGCCAAGGCTCTTATGTTAGCTTCATGAGGTCAACAGAGACAAGGCCTGTCCTTTCTTTCTGTACCTTCTGTCTTTCAGCACCACCACCAATTTTTATGTTCCCTCATGGCTCAAAGTAGCTGCTGAGTTCCAGTCACATCATCTGAATTCCAAGCAGGAAGGAGGAAGAAGGGGAGGAAAAAGGAAAAAGCTCACATGCTTGCTGTCTGTCACACTTAAGGAAGGACACGTTTGTTTACACATTATTGCTTGCCCTTAGGCAATCATGTGCTGGAAGGAGCTGGCTCTTCCTTGGTTCCAAGAACTAATTGTTACATTCTCAGGAGGT